TTCACAAAAAGAGAAAATACTGCATCATTTCAATCATTTAACGAACCTGTTAGATCGTGTCCAAGTCAGATATAATATTTTTCATCAGTGTTTGACGCTGTGGTGTTTCCTGAGTGAAATGCTGCCTCATTATATCACATTGAAAAGATGATCGCTTGTGTAACATGTTGAAAATGACCATTTAAAATAGTTCTGTAGGTTTGGTATGAAACCAAAAGGTGCTCTCAGGTGTAACAGAACCTGTAGTAAACGTCCCTAACCCTAACCACAATAAAACCGGATACAAAACTGACGCTTTACTATCAGGTGACAGTGAGAAATTGGAACCCCTAAAAATATTCTGTTGTTTTTTTGCTGTTTTGTTTGTTTTTTCTAAATTAAACGCAACAAACAAGCAACTTGTTGGGATCCGTTTCAAACCTGGAGAGGAAGGGAGGGAAAACGAGACAGAAACACGGCGGGAAAATGAAGCGAAAAGACTGAGACAGACAGAAATGGAGTCAAAGGGGGCTCATTGTGAGTTCTAGTCACCACTCTGAAGTCTGTTCAGTATTCCACCCTCAGCATTCTCACAGCGCTAATGAGCAACAGCCAAACACACACACACACACACACACACACACACACACACACACACACACACACACACACACAGACACTACCACAACCCAGGCTCGTTTCTCACTTTCTCTACATTAGAGATGTTGTCCTACTTTTCCGCGGATGATGAGATTTGTCAAGCGCTGCTCTTCTTTTTAAATTCATCAAAGACACTTTGACTGTTTGTTCGACTTGTGTAAAAAGCAGAAAGCGGCAGCACGTACCTTTAACGATGAGGTCGGCGTAGTTGGACACCCCCGAGCCGCCGTCCGACCGGATGACGCAGCGGTAGCGGCTGGTGCTGCGCTGCGACGTGTCGCCGACGCTGACGGTGGCAGAGAAACGCCGGTGGTTCACCACCCTGGTCACCATCAGAGCTGTGTCCTTACCGTTCCACTGCTGCAGGACGAGGAGGAGGAGAGCGGTCAGTTACTGGCAAAGGCCTGGTGGCGTGTCCTCACTGACACTGACCAGGAACACAACGTCAGGTGGTGAAACTCAAATGATTAAAACATGCCGATGTAGAAAGACAGGGACATGGAGTAGGAGCCACGTATGCATCTTATATGTCTCAGCAGGATTAAATATGATGGAAGATGAGGCCTGTTAGTCGCCATTAGGCCCGACTTCTTCAGCCCGAACACACTGAGAAATGCACTAGAAGCAGCGATTAGCTCTTGATGTATTACACCTCCACCAGAGACGGTTTAAAATAAAGAGTGGTTGAGATAAGCCTGTTTACTAGTATGTAGGGATGGTAGGCAACTGAAACCGGTATTAAATGGAACCTGGGGTAAAATTTTTCAAGACCGGAGTCAATAAGCTCCAACGTTATCGGTTCTGCTCTCGCTACTTGAGAAAAAGTTGTCTCGCACATTTTATCACCAACTCTGTTTCTGATTTACACATCATCTATGAATGATGCTTTTTCACTGTTCCTAATCCAAAGGACAGACCTCGCACACGTGCACCTACGCTGAGCTCTGTGAGACTCAAACAGCTGATCTGTGGAGTGATACTGTGGTTCCAAAGTAAAGGGCTGTTTGACGGCAAAATAAAGTGGTGAAAATTTCAAAATAAAGTGCGCACTTCAACAGACCCAAGGTGAGAGCGAGTCAGACATGAAACCTAAAATCTGTCCTGCTGCCACTTCCTGCTCTCAATGTGATCCCTACATCTCCACATCCAGTCTTCTCTTACCACTGAAGCATTATCTGCTAATATGGAGAAACATGCTTCCCCCAGCAGACCTGACTGGAAGGGGAGAGGGTGTGTGTGTGTGCGTGTGTGTGTGTGTGTGTGTGTGTGTGGGGGGGGGGGGGGGGGGGGGTCCAGTGCTCTCCATTTCAAATGTCATTGCTGTACACTGCAGCGTTCTCAGCGGTAAACGCTCATGTGCAGTGAAAACATCCAAGCTTGCCAGTGCACATGAATGTAAACTAGAATGAGTATGGATGTACACAACACACACACACAGACACACACACACACACAGACACACACACACAGACGGAGTCATCGGTGCGAAGCAGAACAAGGACTTTTAATCAGTCCTGAAATGGAGCTGGGGCAGACTGGGATGCTTGTTACTGTGCACTTATGTATTTTATATTTATTTCATATAATAAATATTAAAACAATGAAACAGCATAAATAAATAATAACTATCTGCTACATTGGCCTTTTATATAGTTTATAGTCTGAATTATAGAATATTGTATAGAATATCAACAGATCCATCCACTCATATTCAAATGTTTATCCTGCTCATATGTAATAATAATGATAATAATAATAATAATAATAATAATAATAATAATAATAATAATAATAATAGAATACGTCACAGTTCCTCTCACTCTTCTGAATCCGTGCTTAGGGGATATTAAACTGCAGAAAA